ACGGTTCAAAAAATATCATCAAACTTACCATTTGTTCTTATTTTTTCTATGTGGTAACCTGCTAACCGGTTTCCAGTTAAGGGCTGATTTGTGTTTTCTTTTTTCTAAGGGTGGTGATTTTGGATGATGTGGGTGGAGAAGGAGATAGTAGCAGCAGTGTTGAAGGTGGTGTACGGGTTGTTGGTGGCTGTACGGTGGGTATAAGGGTGGTTCTCGATGTTGCTGTGATGAGGGTGCAATAGGATGGTGCGACAGTTAACTGGTGATGCAAGTAAGTGCAAGGATGAGAGGGTTGGCTGGAGGTTTGCTGGTTCGATCTATATCAGGTGTGGCGGTGGTTCATGGTTAAGCTCAACGAAGAAAATGATGATGGTGGTTTATGGTTTTTTGGTTGTGTTTCACAGTTGTGGTGGTGTTCCGTAAAAAAATGAAGCGGAATCGAGAGGGAGGAGCAGCAGCTTTCTGCGAGAGGTTGAAGATGGATGAACAGTGGCAAAGAGGGGTTGGTCTCGGAAGACAGATGTGAAGGGAAAAGTATCGAGATGGTGGTGTTGGTCTCGGTGGGTTTTTTGCTTCTCAGGTAAGGGTTCTCGGGAAGAAAAAAAATCAACAATTACGTTGGCTCATTTCTGATCTTAAATGAACACAACTTCAGATCAAAGATTGTTGGAGGGGCCGTGGTCAGTGGCGGACGCAGACTGTTTTAGTAGGGGTGTCTCTCGTACTTCAAGCGGGTGCACCTAATAGAAAAAATCAAAAAAAAAAAAATTTTACACTGCGTGCCGGAAATTGAGCAGTGGCCCGGGACCCCAAATGGCCCACTAAGATCCGCCACTGGCTGTGGTGGTTCGGTGATTATGTTTGTGAGGGTGGTCTGATTTCTAGATGGCAGCAGCGAATCAAAAGGGAAAAAGGACGTGGTGAGGTTGGGATAAAACAGAACAGCAGGTCTTCGGCTCACGACGGATGAAGAATCGTCAGGAGGTGGTTCCGACTTCTCAATGAGCAGCAACATTTTTTTTTGTTGCAGGTTTTTAGATGGAGATGATTTTTGTTGCGTGTTTTTAGATGGAGAGGACGATGAACAGTAGCAAACGATGAACAGTACCAGTAATCTTTACCTCATAACCGGTAGAACCGGTTACCACAATGGGATATAAGAAAGAAAAGTCAATTCATATGGTATTCTGTGAACGATTTGTTAAGTTGGTTGGTCTTTTTCGAACATGGTATACTTCAATGGTGTTTTTTGTACATAATTTAAACTTAATTACCCTTTTAAGTCATTATCCCTTGGGTCGGTGGTAGACCCATCACTTCCCTTCCTTGAGGCCACTAGTTCAAAACCAAGGATGCCTATTAAAATTGCTTTCTTTGAATTAAGAAAAACCTCATAGATGGTCCCTGTGTTTTCAAAACTTTTCACAATTGGTCCTTATTGCTAACTCCGTTAACTTTTGTCCGTTAATTGAGGGGCATTTTCGTCATTTCACACCATAGGGACCATTTATGATCTTTTCAGTTATTTTATAAAAAAAAGAAAAAACTAAATATAATTATTTAATATATAAAATATCTCTCTCTCTCTCTCTCTCTCTAAATTTTCAGGAAAACTTGAATCGCTTTGGTTATGTGGAGAAGCATATATTAATATATAAAATCTCTCTCTCTATCTCTCTCTCTCTCTCTCTCTCTAAATTTTCAGGAAAACTTGAATCGCTTTGGTTATGTGGAGAAGCATATATTTTGTTTAGAAATAAACACTAAGAGCTAGTAGTTTTATGTTCTAGAGTAATATAATTGAGCTTAATAGCTCTTCAGAGAAGTTACAAGATCTTCGTGAGACTTTCAGTCAGATACCATTTCCTTATGATATTTAAACGTATCTGAAATCAACATCAACTTTTCTATATTTTGTTCGGTTAGCAAAGCCAAATCTGCATTATCACATAATTGTGCAAGTCTCCATAACACACCTGCATTTTTCAGAAGCTAACTCTAAGCTAATTTTTCTCAATTTAAGCTGATTTTTTTTTACTGGGCAACTGCTTAAACTTTATTGATTTTTATGCCTAGGTCAAGTGCATATAATGATAGAGTCGTGGTCTTAATCAATACAATAAATATTGTTGGTTCATTGGCCTGTTGCAGTTCAATAACAAATAAGCTCATCTATGGATAACTCTAGTTAAGTGTCGATAACATGGCCCCGATGCTGCAATTAACACCTATCCAGGGGCAGCAATCTGCTACATTTGGTTCCCAAGACACAAGTTTTGAAGATAATGAAGAACTGAAGTCTAAATTATTCTTCAACTGGATCAAAATCGATTGCAAGTCGTTTTGACATATACCAGAAACACACAAATAAGATTAAGTAAAAGGGTATGAAGAAAATCTGAAAGCATAGGTGATTTCTTATTGGAAATGGAAAGTTGAGTTCAAGACACCCACATGATGCAAATACACTCAGAGCCTCTATAACTAAAACCCATCAACTGAAATAACGAAACATGAATACCTTTTTCGTCTTATGTGTGTTTGAACCTAAATTTTCTTTGAAGTATCTGTGAAGCAACAAAGGTTGAAAATCGAAATTGGGTGTAGATGGCGTCTGAAGATGAGATTTTAGCTTTGATTTAGAGGAATCAAGGGCTATTATTGATGGTTGTAACATTTAGATATTGACGGGAGGGGAAGAAATGTGATGATCGGAGAAGAGACCAAGTCGCCACTTGAGAGAGAGAGAGAGAGATTTTATATATTAAATAATTATATTTAGTTTTTTCTTTTTTTTTTTAAAAATAACTGAAAATATCATAAATGGTCCCTGCGGTGTGAAATGACGAAAATGCCCCTCAATTAACGGAGAAAAGTTAACGGAGTTAGCAATAAGGACCAATCGTCAAAAGTTTTGAAAACACAGGGACCATCTATGAGGTTTTTAAACCACGGGGACTAAACTTCAGATTTTGGATAACCACATGGACAATTTATAATGTTTTTTCTTGAATTAATTTGGAAGACTATTTATACATTGTGTACAAAAAAAATTCAGAAAAGATAAATCATAGAACAAACATACAAATATATGCAGACTGTTAAAATAAACTGAATGTTTGATTTTAGGTTGCCTAACATTTTTATTTATCTAGTTTATAAAATTCATGTTCAAAATCCATTTTATATCACCTAATCAAATTTTAAAATGCCAACCAGAAAATACGTAGTAATATCATAATTTCATAAATCAAGAAATAGCAACGTTTTTATTTATTCGTTTCGGATACAATATTATATTTTTTTATTTTTTTATGATAAAATATTGTATTGTTATTTTTTTATTAAAACATTATGCATTAAAAAAATTATCTACTTGTAACTTTCAATGTTTAGTTCTTGTTGTAACTTTATATTTTAAAAATTATATCCAAAATTTTCAATAAAAGATATATTTGGATAATATATGAACTTGAATATGCTTCTAAGAACGAAGATTGTATATTTATGTTTGATTTGAGATTAGTTACTTGGAACATGAGTATCATGTTTTCGCGCAAACCATTGTCACAAATCAACCAAACTAAAGGCATGCTCTTAATTTTTTTTAGGTTAGAGATGATCTGCAGATGTTGGAAGAGGTTGTTTCAAACCATTGTCTCAAATCAACCACACTAAAGGTGTCTTTTTTTAGGTTAGAGATGATCTGCAGATGTTTGAAGAGGTTGTTTCATGTATGTTCAAAAAAGAGGCCGTGCATATATTTTCGGTCTTCTAAAAAACAAACAATTTGTGAGATAATACGTTTGCATGTTGTTTGCAGGCAAAAATGGTCAAAAAGCTATTCTTGAGAAAAAACAAACAAACACCACCTAAATGTGTACAAACCATGTCAACCAAAAATCTTAGTCATCAGCGACATGTCATGCCACATCAAATGTTAACCGGGTACACCCACAAATACCGGTTAAAATTGTATTTTTGTACAAATTAATAAGATTATTGGTACAATGTATATAAAATCAAAAAATTATTACCTTCTGAAGTGATTATAGATAAAAGTAGGTTGTATTTTGTACAAATACCAATAAAGATGTAAGTAAAAGCATTTCCAATATATGTATCAAATCTTGAGTTAAAAAATATTTTGAAATATTTTTACGCTGAACTACAGTTTACTCCAATATTAACGTTTATCAACGTCTTCATGAATAGGGTTCATTCTACTCCCCTTCCACCATATGATGCCCACGTGTTCTCTTTACCTTCAGCCTTCCCTCCATTTAACCATCTGCTATCTCAATTGAAACAAAAGTTGCCGTTGCTTACTATCACCACATACGGTTTTGCTTTACAATTGTGTCCACTTTCTATAGGTACAAATAAAAATCTCCTTCTCTTCGTTGTTTCTGTAAATCCTTGGTGTTTTGGGGGATTTGGGTTGCGATTTTATAGATTATTTCTGATTTTAGGGTTTTTGTTTCTTCATTGATTTTGTAAATACATGGAGTTTTGGATTTGTGGTTTTATAGATTAATCGGAACTATATGAAAATCTTGTTTATATCAAATTTGAAATTACTCTCGGGTGATAATATTTTATTTTTACATCACTTTAATATTTTTAATTGGACATTGTTAGAAATTTTTCCTTGCTTTTATGAGTCTATAATATTTAATACACTTTTCAAGATAAACTGATATATTTTTTTTCTTCATGTTTTGTTTTTTCAATCGGGCCACAATTAATGTTAGGTTAAAGATTTATTAAAACTTACGAGTTTTAATGGTAAAAATATACATACAATTCTTACCTTAGACTAAACCCGGATTTGATGCACACATTTGCGTAAGCTTGAATTTTGCATAAACATATTCTAAAAAATATTTTTACACCATATTTTGTGTAACATGTGGTGCATACATTGAATATGCTCTTATTTTCCGCTTATAACTTTATCAAAATTAAGGCATTATACATATAATCACATTCTATTTTTACCATTACATATAAAGAAAGATATAGGAATATAAAATAAAGGTCATTGGTAAAAAAACTACAAATATATAATGGTTTTATTATTACAAAGAATAGTTAAAAATGTTGTATCAGGAATGTCTATCAAGGGTGAAAGCTGTCCTGAAAGTTCATTCACAAGTCACAAGGAGATCAATTAGTTGACTTTCATTTTATTGGGGTTGAGTTTTTAGAATGAATACAATGATGCATATGAGTTTCATCTCATAAATTTATGATTGAAAATATATGTCATGTATAGATTAAATTTGGCTTTAAGCCTTTAACCCAAAGAAGATACTTTATATGCACATGAGTTAGACTTGTTTGATAGTTGATGCTTGAGTCAGATCTAACTGAATACACAACTCTCACCGAGTAAAAGACATATCATAGAAGCCAGGACCGAGTCACCGAGTTATAGGCTTCTAGGTATCAAACAATTTCAATCTGATTTAGCCTTTTACCAGACCCAGTAAAAGACATATCAAACACCCCTTAGTATAAACTTAAATGTGTAACATACTATAAATAGATAAAGAACAAAAAACAACAACCAAATTTGAGTCTTGATTTATAAACCTTACATGTCTCAACTCTCAAACAAAAACACATACAAAGGTTCCAATACTAACAGAAGAAAGATATATTGGCATTCTGCATTCAGCACCAAAATGGATACTTAAAGAGCCATTTACAGAGAAATAAACATATGGTGCTGCAGCAGTGATCTATGTTACTGAACCACAGAAATCCAAAACTTTCAAATTAAAGAATAAATCTTTTTGATGATTATGAATAACAACACTAAACACTAGCATCTGATAAATGGTATTAAGAGAAACCTAGTAGATATATGTTAGTTTCTAGCAGCTGAACCAAAGAAAGATTGAAAATTTCTAAATTATAATGTGGATTGAAAGTTGAAACTCACATAAAAAAGTAAGAAATCAATCATCAGTCATCCTTGATTCTCCTGAGGAGTCTAGCAGCCCATCGACGGACGCGTCGCTTCAGGGTGAAGCCGACAATAATCCCGGCAGCAAAGCAAACGGCACAAAGCTTGGAGCAAGTCAACACTGATACTGCTCGCCTGCAACAAATTACATGAACTTCATGAGGATAGCAAATAGCAATAGGCGATAAGCAGTGCAAATGAGAATCGGGTAACTACCTGGGGGGTCTGATGAACAAGACAGCAGATGGGTCGGAAGGGGAAGCAGAATACGAGCCTGTGCCGGTGTTATAGGAAGAAGATGGAAGATTGGTAGCCGAAGGCTGCGTCGTGTTCGTGATACCACTTCTTATTGCTTTCTGAAACCCTTCCATTGATCGCAAATCGAAACAAGATTTGGGCTTCGGTGTGGGGTTTCTTGCTTCAAAGCTTTTCCCTTTTATTGGTTTGTTTCCTCTTGATTTGCTTTAGTAACGTGGAGGCCCCTCAACTTCATTCTCCTCTATTTCATGGACAGGAGGTTCGGGCATTTGTCCTATCACGATTATTTGGTTTAGTACTCGTATTACTTTTGAGTAAAGTTCCCACTTTTGAGAAATATTTCATTAATTTAATTAAAACCGATGGCATATCTAAAAACGAATTAAATAAATTAAAAATATAAATAATAAAACACAATTGAATCAGTGCACATTGAAAACCTCCTATACATACAATTAATGCTATCAAACATTCTAAGAATCTCATGTCTATTTTTATGTGCCGCATATAATTGGTGGATGTCGACAACTATCAGCTTACATAAATACCGGCCACGATAGAGAATAATCACAACTTTAGCAAACTTGTATAAACATTCTCATGTCGTTCGCTCTGACATCCTCAAGAACTCATCTCATAAGTCAGATCTCATGTTGAATGCTAGTTGACGAACTGCAGTTATACATTTTTGAATTGTTGAGAAACCTTTTCGGACACTTACATCAATCTTTTGTTGAAAATATTGAAATCGATTTTTCACATCCTCAACGATGCATTGAAATAATTATTTACTCATGCGGAACCGACGTCTGAATTTCACAGTGTATACTACATCATCGTCAAAGTAGTCATGCACAAGTTGGTTGTACCCCGCTTTATGATTTCTCCCAGATGGAGGATTTCAATTTTGTATGCGGACTTTCGTCTTCGTTTTCTTGCAAATAAGAGAGTGTTGTTCGCATAACATCACCGATAAATGTCGCTTCCCGCAACGTCAACATATCCGACGAAGTGGATGACGATGACGATATTTTTACAATTATAAATAAGTGCTAGATGTTTGGTTTGTAGTTTGAAAATGTGAAGTATGAATGTATATTTATAGTAGAGGATTTTTTTTTTAAAGTGACAAATCTCGTTGAGTAACGATCACAAGAAGGCAATAGACATATTTTGAGGTGCGGGAAGTTTTTCTCTCGCGGTGGCTTGACTAGCTCTGCACCATCGTGGTGCCATGTAACCCACCGCAATGTGCAATTTTTGCTACACTCCGACTAGTGTTAGAAAAATTAACTCACACATAGATACTATTCTACTTTTAAATCCATGTATTTCATTCCAAACAAGACTTGAACTTTGGTTGATGGACATATATTGCTTGGCTACAAGCCTTTTGGTACTATGAGTAAAATATAATTTGTGATAGTTACAAAACAATCAAAATATAGGAAACCAACCTTTTAAGCACCTGTGGATTTGATCACCATTTCGAAATACTACATTCCAGACTCAATCAATTCCATTTCAGAGCGACACATTTTCTGATGAGATGTGACATAAAAGTATTTGGAATCAGACATCTCAGGATATCTTCATAGAGAATACATCTCATACATACTTTATCGAACATTTAAGACACTAATTGCAGATTTCATAAGTTTTTTTTCATCTTATGTGTGTTGAGGTTTTCAAATTTATCTCAACCACCATCCGTACACAATTTCTATTGTAGCAGTGTGTATTATTACAATCTCAAACAAACTGGGAAACATGTATGCACATTAAGAATGATGATTGTGATCAGTTTGAGTTCTTCTTTACAACCATCGCATTTGTGGAAATTATCATTTTGAAAGTGACATATATTCGTAATTTCATTATAATTTATTGGTATGATTGATGATCAAAATATTTCTCCTTAAAGGGGAAATAAATGTTTAAACCACCATTAGTCACTGAACTTGTTTTTTTTTTCATTTTTGTTACTGCAACCAGTGATAGCCAATGTAAGTGAGCGTGGTTGTTGACATCTAATCCTACCTTGTACCGCTAGTTGGTTGGATCCCAAGTCTATCTGACTGTCTAGCTTCCAGAGATTTCCTATGTAGTTTACATTGTTTGTTAATTCAAAACCTAGAGCCTTTATTCAACTCGTCACGTAGCCTTTTTAAGATATGTTTGATACATAAAAGGCTAAATATTTCGTGACCTATTGTAATGATCCTAAAATCTCAAACTATATGTTATAAGATGTATTTGTCTACAAGATTCAAGGGTGAATTCAAGTAGTGACGCCGTATTTTTTTTTGTTTACACTCGTTTTCGACGATAACTATCACTTATATTGTATGATGTTAGTTGTTGGTTATTTAATATGTTGCAAAATAATAGTTATTATAGATTTAATAATATTATATAATATAAAAATAATGGTTATGTTGTTTTTATTAGAAAATAATTAAGGGACCATTAGTGTAATATGAATGGTATATTGTGTTGAAGAAGAAATAGATGAGTGGATTATAATCGTAACTATAGTTTAAATGAACTCGATAAGAAAGAAGGTGATACCTATGTGTTCTTTCAATTTCTTTTGGTGTTAATTAAATTTGAGCAATACCGGAACGTTCGTACATCTTCAATTAATTAAGAAGCATTCGTATTATATTGTAGGAATGACTAAGCCATTAGAATCATACGATACAATTGAAAATTTGAGTATAAATAGAGATATTGTTTTAAACGTTATTCAGCAAAAAAAATAGTGAAAATCTTTTTAAATAAATTTAGTATCAAGAAATATTAGTGAAAATAAAGAAGATTGAGATTACAAGGGTTTTTAGTAGAAATTGTAAACTCCTAAAATTACCGAGTTATTAAAGTAATAAAGTAAATAAATGAAAAATGATTTATATAGTTAAATCATCAATGGATAATCATATCATTAGTTGATACGAAGTTTGGAAGTTTATAAGTGAAAATAATAACATTTTAAATGTTAAAAGGTCAAAAGTGTCATATTGGCAAAGTGAGTTAACCAAAGGGTTGACTTAGTTAGTGGAAAGGACTATAAAAGTTATATAATGGATGGAGAAAGGTTTACTATGCCAAAACTTAAGTTAAAATCATAAATATTGAAGTATAGCCAAAACAAGGAAACTTGAAGGATAAAATATAACAAATTCGAAAATAAGAATGCATCCTCTCCATTTCAGCCAAATATGAACAATGAGAGAAGAAGAGAGGAAGTGAAATGGTGATTTAAGCTCAAGAGAAACCCTGGGATTCAATCTCAAGCCTTCTTGGTTCATTTGTTGCAAGTTGTGAAGAAATCAAGTGGTTCAAGGTATACTTTCTTCCTCCCTTGATGTAGAATTCAAGTTTCATCTATGGATTGGGAGTTATGTACAATTTTCATCTCATTTGAGTATTAGGGTTTGGTTTTCTAACCTCCGTTGAGTTGTTTCGATGATCCCAATCTCAATCAAATCATCACATTAACGGATTTAAGGATTTTTGTGAAAACCCTCATGAACCCTAGAAATCCAAATTTGGGGATTTCTTGTTTATATGTTAAATTGGGATTGAATTATATGATCTAGATGATATTTGATAGCAACAAATATAATTTGAATGCTAAAATTCATCCATGATGGGAGAATCATGTTCGAGATTAAATGGAAATGGAATTGGGGACAATATGATGAACTTTGTAGTTAAGAAATTGATGAGTAAAGGAAGTTCATAATCATGAATGGATACTCTTGGAATAATTTGAATTCAAAACATAAGGTGTTGCTTGTTTCCTAGATTGATAAATGTAGTTATTGGTAATAAGGGAAAAATGGGAAAGTTGGAATGGAATTGGACATTCCATAACTCCATTAAAGAGTTAACATAATATTTGTGTAATGTTAAGCACTTGACAACACCTAATGATATATTAGATGATTCAGGAATAGTTCATATGGGTTGAAGGGTATTATTGAGCGACATGATCTCTTAACCCTTTCAATTGAGTGATTATAGACATTTAGAGTGTAATAATGGAATTGAGGATTCCATAGTAAAATTAAACACTTGCAATAAGGTTGGTTATGGTTTTAGGTACTTCACAACATTTATTTGAGTGTTAAATAAGTTGGGAACAAGCTTTGTAAGTTTTAGAATGCTCAATTGAACAACAGACAAGTTAACCATTCTTATGGAATTTGAAGATTAATATGTTCTTAAGAGGTTTTAGTGAGCACTTAATGAATTAAGTGGGGTGTTTTTAGATGATAAAACACCTCCTAACCATGTGTGAGAACCTATACAAGTGGTGTAAAGTGATTTGGAAAATGGTATTCAACAACTATGCAAAGTAGAGTGTTATTTTGAGAAAAATCGAGTTTTGTGTGTGTGCAAACATGAAATCACGGCCTGTGGATATTCATGCCTTAATTTCCATGGCCCATGGAAGTATTTCTTAGAGGTTTTCTTGTTTTCTTCATAATGTCTGCATACAGACTCAGATTTACGCATGGTTTTCGCCTACTTTCATAGTTTTTCATGAGGAACAGTTTGAAGCAATAAAACTTATTAATGGAACATATGGGGGTATTTTGGTCATTTTAATAACTTATTTCCATGTTATATAGGTGACGATTGAGAGTGTTGTGCTAAGAAAAAGAATTAGAAGATGACTAGTTAACCTACGTGTGATTGAGGTGAGTACGTATTGCCATTTTACCACTTTGGGGTACATGGAAAAATGATTTTATGATAATGAAACACTAATGTTTGATATATGAAATGTTTTGAAATGAAAGTGTCAAATGTTTTTGGAAATGATAATTTGAAAGAATGCCTTGAAGGTAGGGATGGCAAAAATCCCCATACCCAATGGGGAACCCGAAACCCGCATCCGTTTTGACTGGGGAATCCTCAAGTTGACCGGGGATGGGGACGGGGATGGAGAATCCCCAAATAAAAAAATAGGGATGGGGATACCCCTAATCCCCGACCCTGTACCCGCGCCCGATATATATATTAATATATAAAAATAATACAAAACATATATTTATATTAAAATTTACAATACATAAAATTTGATCCAAGTAACCTAACTCATTAGTAATTACTTGGTTGAAATTATAGTTTTTCTTTTTCTTTTATCTAACTTAAACTCGTGTATAATTTTTTTTTCTATTTGGTTTATCTATTTTACCTCAAATATCACTCTGATGATTTTTTCTACTTGATTTTCATGTATTTATTTAAATTTGGTAGAAAATTTGTTTATATGTTTTATGCAATCTAAGGATATTTTTATATTTTGGAAAATCTTGAAACTTATGCTAGAAAAATTGAAATTTAGAGTTTTTCTTTATGAAAAAGTTTTCAATTTAAAAGAGAAAAAGAAATCTCCGATTCCCCGTTGGGATCCCCAGTCCCATTGGGGGTGGGGATGGGGGTTTAGTTATATTCCTCGATGGGGATGGGGATGGGGATGGGGATTGGAATGATAATTTGGGGATGGGGATGGGGATTGGGGTCCCTGTATTCTCCGCCCCTGTTTCCATCTCTACTTGAAGGCAAGAATGTTTTTTTAAAGCAAATAACGTTTTGGAAGATCGAATGTTTTGAAAAGGTGTTTGAAATGTTTTGAAGTATAGATGTTTTACTTTTGAAATGAGTACTTTGGTACTAACATATGAAATGTGTAAAGCTTGGAAAGTAATGACAATAAATAGAAAGTAATGAAAATAAATGAAAAGAGTTGGAAAATAATGAAAAGAAAATTGTTTGGACCATGATGCCTCATAAGAAGTCTAGAGGAATCTATCGGGGTGGTACATTCCATGTCATGAAGTAGATGTCATAAGCATGATGCCTTGGTGGATTGATTTTGTTCTTTCCACCTTGGTCTTGGAAATGATGCCTTGGTGGGTTGATTTTGTTCTTCCCACCTCGGTCTTGGAAATGATGCATTGGTGGATTGATTTGTTCTTTCCACCGTGGTCTTGGAAATAGAGATGGAAAAGAAGCTAATGAAATGATAAGATAAGAAATGACACTTATAATATGATATGTTATGTTATGTAAGAAAATGATTGAAAATGCTTTATGGTATGAATGAAAGGAATCTTTCTTGAAAATGATTGAAAATTCTTTATGGTATGAATAAAACACTACTAGAAAACAGTCATTTAAAGACGCGCAAACAATGACACTCGCTGATAGAGGACGCACATTTGTGCGTGCCCTAAAAATAATGTCATCTCTCTTAATGACCATAAATAGAAAGTAATGAAAATAAATGAAAAGAGTTGGAAAATAATGAAAAGAAAATTGTTTGGGCCATGATGCCTCATAAGAAGTCTAGAGGAATCTATCGGGGTGGTACATTCCATGTCGTGAAGTAGATGTCATAAGCATGATGCCTTGGTGGATTGATTTTGTTCTTTCCACCTTGGTCTTGGAAATGATGCCTTGGTGGGTTGATTTTGTTCTTCCCACCTCGGTCTTGGAAATGATGCATTGGTGGATTGATTTGTTCTTTCCACCGTGGTCTTGGAAATAGAGATGGAAAAGAAGCTAATGAAATGATAAGATAAGAAATGACACTTATAATATGATATGTTATGTTATGTAAGAAAATGATTGAAAATGCTTTATGGTATGAATGAAAGGAATCTTTCTTGAAAATGATTGAAAATTCTTTATGGTATGAATAAAACACTACTAGAAAACAGTCATTTAATGACGCGCAAACAATGACACTCGCTGATAGAGGACGCGCATTTGTGCGTGCCCTAAAAATAATGTCATCTCTCTTAAAATTTAAAGGATTTAGGGCACGCATTTTTGCGCGCCCTGAAATTAGTGTCTAAACAAAAAAAACACGGAGGGCACCTATAATAAAATGTGCGTCGTCTAAGGCTGTCGCTTTATAAATTTTAATAGCACGCGCGCGTTCCATCCAGAGGGAAAAATGAAATCCCAAAAACTTAAAAACCTCGCCCTCTTCTTTGTAATAGCTAGGGCTTTTTGTCAAGAACTGCGCCGGCCTCCTTCCTCTACTGCACGTTCTCTCTTCAATTTCCCTTTCTCTCTTTCTCACTTCGACAAAACCCTTTCTCTTCTTCTCAGTTCTCGACGTCGACATCTTCTCCCACCTCCGACGTTTCTCTTGGCGCCGATGCCTCCCACCTCTGACCTCCGTCCAACCCCGCCTCGTCGTCCAACGCTTTCCAGCGACACCCAGCGACATCCCCGGTAAGTTGTATCTTTTTTTTTCATTAGATTAGATTAGATGAAATCTTTAAATGTTGGATCTTTAGAGGCTTGGCTTTTTCTTCACTCTCTGTCTGTGTGACAAGCATCATAACATTTTCCTATACACAAAATAGAAAGAAAAGATTATAAAGTTAGATTTTTATTTCCATTTTTGGGTTTGTATTTTAGGACCAACAGGGCTTATCACTCAGTGAGCCATAAACATCAAGATTGAGTGGCTTAGCTAAAACATTAAAGGACACATCACATTACCTTATTAGTAAATTTTCAAATGATGACATCAGCTTATTGTCAAAATTACTGAAATCATGGCCACTTTCCATGATGTTTCCAGGTCAACATCTTTTGAATTACATATAATATAAGCATATTATATTATATTATTATTAATGATTAACCACCTCTAAAACTTTTATATAACAAAATCATCAAATATTTTTGCAGTTATTGACATATTAAGGATGGTCATTTTACATCCAGATGGATCATCTGTTCTGAAACATGTTATTGATGAAAATGGTATCTAATTATCTATACTAATTTATCACTAATATATTAAAACACACACACACACACACAAGGTTCTACTTGTAAAATATGATTTGTTTTTTTAACTCTTCAGATATATTCATGGATTTAATCAAGAAGGTTACAAATAATCCTCTTCCCCCAAATCTTCTAACCAGTATACGTGCTGTAGTAAATCTTTTTAAGAACTCAAGTTTCCATATATGGTTGCACAACCATCGTGTTGAGGTATGATTTTTTTTTTGTCTGAATATTATAATGAAAAACACTATTGAATTCCATTTTGGCGAGGTTGTAGATTTTTGATGCATTTGCTAGTTGTTATTCATCTCCAAACAAGAATGTCCAAATATCTTATTATACATTGGTGCTCAAGTAAGTAAATTTGCCATTTGGATTTGGATTTTTTTTTCTTTTTAATATTTTGAAAATTATGAAAAATGGATGATCCACTTATTTTGAGCGTTACAGTTATGACGTGCTATTGATTGAAAAGAAGGATGAAGAAGGTCAATCTCATGTTCTTTCAGCAGCTTTAGAGGTAACATACAAATAAACCTTTTTTTTAAATACTTAAATTAGAAAATTAACAAGGGCAAATTTGTAAAATGTTTTTTTTTCCTACAGATTGCAGAAGGGGAGACTTTAGAAGTTGATGCGAAATACCGAGCATTAGTGGCTATTGGATCACTGGTATGTTAAATTTGAATGAAATAAATAAGAGATTTAAAAATATGTGTGTATTATGGTATGGTGGTTTATATTTATGATAGATTGGTACTTCAAAATGTTAGCGATGTGGGTTATGACTTTCAAGATCTATTGGAGATAGAGATGTTGGGGAGTTCATTATTCCAGTTCCTCATGTCAAACAAGTGAATGTTAGTTTTGTAATTAAACTCAATTTATTTCTCTTTTTATTAACAACTTTTATTTATTCATGATCTTCAGCCATCTTCTGCTGGTAGGCGGCTTGTAATTTCAAGTGATGGAGTCTGGGATGCTCTTTCCGGTGGACAGCAGCCCAGTACAGTACACCAGGTCATGACAAACTAATGATATGGATGATTTTGTTGACATGATATGTGAAACAAGAAGGTGCCCCTTTATAGCAATGTAGTATTAGTTATATAGTTAGGGAAATCCTCTTAATAACAATGTACAATTAGACCCCTTTAATATCAATGTATTACAATTTTTTGACATGATGTTGTTGGATGAAATTTATTGTTTTGGTATATATTTTTTTTCTATATTTTTGTATTATGCGTAAAAGAGTATCGTAAAGGCACGTCATATATGCATATTGTAAATGGTTGCTGAAGTTTATGACACGCAAATGTGTGTCATCTTCATTTATGACAGGGGTTATAATGATACGCAATGCGTGTCCTAAACGCACGTCGTAAGGTTACGACACGCAAATGCGTGTCGTCTTCGTTTATGACAGGGCCTTGCTTGATACGCATTGTGTGTCGTAAATGAGCGTCGTAAATGTGTGTCGTAACTGCGCGTCGTAAATGTGAGTCGTCTATAGACGACGCGCAAAAGTGTGACGTCTCTCGTTATGACAGGGTCTTCCTTGACACGCATTTACGCGTCATCTGAGTGTTTTACGACACGCATTGCGCGTCGTAAAATGCTGTTTTTCTAGTAGTGAAAGGAAGTTTTCTTGAAAATGAGTGAAATGTTTTATGGTCTAAAACCCACGTAGCTCATGAGACAATTTTGTCTTACGTATCTGTTTTTAATATCATGTATCTCAGGTTACATATAATGATAGAGGATAATCAATGGAAGTTAGAAGTAATGTGATAGAGAATGGAGTGGAACTTGCTAAGTTCCTTATTAATGTATTGATGTAATTCGTATTTGTTTGTTATGGTTGTATGATGATTAATGGTGACACCCAAGGTTTTAATTGTAAATGTTTTTGTGGGACTAGTTTTTGTTACATGTGGGTTAATACTCGTAATGATTTTATTAAAACCATAGCATTTAAAAGTTTGAAAATTTTGGGGTGTACAAAAATCATATTGGTCGGCACATCGGCACATATATAAATAGCCTAAAGCACTGCATTCTTCGACTGAAATTGCGAAAGTTCGAGCGGTGACTCGTAGAAAAAGGAAGTGTTTTACACGTCAATTACGAAAATACGCTTACAAAACGACATAAGGTTTTGGCAAGGTAATAAGTTGAAATCAGTTCTAAGCTTGAAGCCACGGCAATAGTTAGTCTCCACTAACTAGACATGTGAATACGTGTGGAATTTATGTGTACATTGCAAAGTAAATGATTATATGCGAAACATGAAAGCTAGTTGTTTATGTGAAAATGATTACTTTTGGTAAGTCGTCATTATTATTTTATGTTATGGACAAATTCATGGTCGTCAAGTAATAAGTTTCCATGAGAGGAACACAGTGATAGGTTCACATGAGAGGAACACGGTTATAGGTTCCCACAAGAGGAACACGATTATAGGTTCCCACGTGAGGAACACGATTATAGGTTCCCATGAGAAGAACATAGTTATATGTCTCAAAAATGAGACACGATACAGTAACAGGTCTTAGTAGTGATACATAGGTATAGTAAGTAATGATAAGTTTCAGAAATGAGTCAAGGATATAAGACATAGTGAGATATCCTTGTAATAGATTCCTTGCTACATTTGGTAAAAAATTTTGTGATTAAGTATTATAAGTATTATAGAAGATTATGTGCAAAAGAGCATTCGATTTCCTTGTATCTGTTAATTGATAGATTATGCTCCGAATATGAGAAATCTTGACTTCATCTTTGTATGGATGTCTGTTTAGTTGGCATAACTATTTATAATATTTTTCCTGAGAAATTGAGTAATGAGATTAGAAAGATTTATTGGTGAGCCTACACGATGAGAACTAATGGGATTTCGTGGTGAGTCTACATGACGAGAACCACCTATTGTTTATTAGTGAGCCTATATGGTGAGAACCAATGGATTTCGTGGTGAGTCTATATGGCAAGAACCATCTATTGTTATCGATGAGCCTAAAAAGCAAGAACCGGCATTCCGATAAGTAATCTATTATAAAAGTTTGTAGACTGTTTGAGTAGCCCAATAATAAGTTTTACTGAATAAAATACTTGTGTTGTAATTGTGTGATTTAAATCACTTTACTCAGTTAAAACCTATATAGCTCATGAGTCTTCGGACTTACGTAGTTTGTGCTATCTACTCAGGTACGAAGATTAAAGTTTAAAAGTAAGCACCAGATAAAGACTTTGAGGAACTTAAAGAAGGTTATGTAATCTTTTCTTTTACTATGGTTGTAGATATTGATTTTGTAACACAAAAGCTATAACTTTGATATTTAAGAAAGGTTTTTGTTAAACTGCATTTTACTATGATTATATATCATGGTAAACAGCAACCACGATACTTTCCAGTGTTTTAAAAATATGCGGTGTTACACTTATATTTTTCATCAATATCCTATTTGGAGTTTCGTGGGCAATAGATATATATTTGTATAGAGATGTCTTTGATTGCCACCACTTCACGATAGGGTACTACTTTTTTTATTAACTCATCCCTTACCTCATGGCACAGTAAAAAACAATCCCTCAGGGCCCACTCTTCTATTAAAGCTAAATATTGTGCTCTTCTTGACACCACTCAAGAGTTTATATGGCTTTGGTGGTTTCTATTATATAGGGGGTTATACAATCATCGTCTACTCTTCTTTGTGCGACATCGAAACCATTCAGATAGCTCATAATGACGTCTTTCACGGACATACCAAAGATATAGAGACTAATTGTAGTTTTGTGTGACAACATGTTCTTGGTATATCGTTTTGTTATTATTGATTTCCACTATTGATCAGGGAGTTGATATCTTCACCAAAGTCCTTCTACTTGGTTGTTTTAATCTCATACTCTCCAAACTCAATCTCACATTCACTTGAGAGATGGTGTTAGCATTAATATAGAAACCTTCATATGTATGGAAACCTTCATTCCATACCTTTTAGATATTTCCTTGTTTAGCTTCTTGTTTAATCTATACTAGTTTATAACCCGTGGGAACCACGGTTACAAAATTAATTAAACTTTTATAGTAAAAACTCAAATTATTAATCAATTATTTTAAATAAATTATTAATTAAGAGATTTTTTTAGTTATATAAAATTATAATCATTGATTTAAATAAATATGTGAAATTATATCACTTTATAATTTGTATTAATTTTATTTTAATTTTATCATATTGTTATTAATTTAATATAATTAGAGTAAAAAGTTTAAAATTTGAAATTTAAAATGGAGAATTAATAGGTTGACAAGTGACATTCATTAATTAAGAGGCATAATAGGGTGACACATGGCAAAAGGAGAATAAAATATACATTAATTATGAGACTTAATAGAATGACACATGTCAAAAAGAGAATAAACAATTTTTTTATTATAATAAGGAGATATTGTATCTTTACTTGTTTATCTCAATTATCTCAGATAAATATTACATTTACATGTCAAGCTAACATCTTAGATAAGGTGTATATATATATATATATATATATATATATATATATATATATATATATATATATATATATAGGGAAAAGTGAATATATGGTTGTCATGTATGTAACATTAGGTATAGAACCATCAAAATTAACTTCATTTCGACTAAAAAACACAATTTTCTTTCATTGTTATCTTATTCCTATTGTTTTTTAACTCATATTATTTTTGATTTCCTTATTCATATCTAACATCTATGTATTTCAAATGTTTTTCTCTATTAGATCTCTAATAGGCTTCACAACTTCCCCTGACACCTACTTTATGTTTACTTGCATGGTTGTGTTTATAAAACTCCATAAAAATATATATAGAAAGCCTAAGATGAGATCTAATAGAGGATGCAAGAAAGACGATAAAAAGATTTGATTGTATATTGTTAAAACAATGTAGTTTTTTATGACTCTATACCTAATATTAGGTACATAAAAGCCACATATTCCCCAAGCCCTTATATATATATATATATATATATATATATATATATATATATATATATATATATATATATATATATAGGTTCAAATGTGGATCCACATATATTGTGTGGATGTAGGGATCATTCTAGACCAAGTATTTTCATTAATTAAATAAGATATTATTCCCAATTAAATCCCTTATTTTTAGCCTAATTATAGATATAATTTTAATTTGTATTCATTATCCTTTAACCCATATATAATCTCTGTACGTTTGATTGAAGATTTATCATTCTCGTTCGTTTTTTTCTTTGAAATTGCAATGGAGCATCCGAGTAATAATCAAGTTCAGGTACAAATGAATTACAGTTTTTGTTTATCTAATTAACAAATTTGTTACAATATGTGTTAGTATCATATTTTTTTCAGCAACAACCAAACAACGATTTCAATGTTCAAATGGATCCTCCTCTGACGAATGCAAGTAGGATTCGAAAAAGAAGATGTTCGGTTTGTAATAAGTTGGCGAATCATGACATGCGAAATTGCCCATTTGCCAGGAAATCAACCTAGAACTCTAGTTGTTTGGAGTTTATGTTTCAATAAAAATAAGTTTTCGCTATATGTATGGGTTAATTTTATCAAAGAAACTTTAGAAGCTTTAGGTATTTTCATTATGTAATTCAAATAAATCCATACATCATTTGATGTATGGGTAGATTTTATTATATTAATTGGTGTCTTTTTAGTCTATATAATGAGCAATATCGTGTTTGTTTGGATGTTACACAAGTATGTTTGAATTATTCAACAATGTGAACTTAAATGTTTCAATAATATTGTAAATGTGATAATGCAATGTGAAGCTGTATGAATTATACTTTGCAATTCTGAAAGAAAAGGAAAACATATTTATAGTATTACCATTTGTATAGTGTTGTTTTAGAATAATTGTAATTTAAATTGTTTACAGAATTCATATAGGTATTTTAATAAAAGTAAAATGTTGATGCAATTCTGCCAGAATTATTGGCTTATAAGGATAACAGAACCCA